TTAAAAAATTTCTAAGTAGATGAATTAGTCATTTAAAGTCAATCACATTATGGAAAATAATGCTGAGTAGATAATTTCATGTACTGTTTTGCCTGAAAGCCGTATGGAAAATAATGCTGAGTAGATAATTTCATGTACTGTTTTGCCTGAAAGCCGTATGGAAAATAATGCTGAGTAGATAATTTCATGTACTGTTTTGCCTGAAAGCCACTCTCAGTATTGTATAGTGAATTGTGAATGTACTTGTTTAAACATATGAACTTCAAGAAATTTCATTCTTGTAAGATTAATATTTTTATATTTTCTTTGGAAATTATAATATTTCTCAGTAAAAATAATTAGGCTCCACTTTCATTTGTGAGACATATTTTTATTTATTGGTAAGTAGTAGTACTTAAGAATATCGATAGTTGACACAAATGCTTCATTAACAGAGTACAAGTAAACATCATAAACGTGCAAGTATTTATAAACAATCTTATGATGGTGAATTTATCACTTGGTAAGATAAACGTACACTTGTAACAATTAAGAAAACTAGTTTTATGTACTTGGTGGCCCAGAGGAATAGTAACTTAAACTGCAAGCTCAAAAATGATAATGGAAAATAAAATTATTTATTTTTGGTTGGCATATGTATCCACAGTGGCAAAGTACAAGAACTGTACAAAATGTAACAGGAAACGATGTTTTTCATGTGACACACCTGCCTAAGCACATCTCCATTCTAACAAAGGTATTTGAAATTGTTTCCAGAATTGTATGGCAAGAAATCTTAACCTTACATGTAAATATGTTCAACCAGTGCTTTTAAAATTCAATTACTTTTTTTATTATTATTATTATTACTGGGCCACCTCATACCTAATGATACAATCATCTTGATACGATTATAAAATGTCCTCAACAAAGTTTAAACTTGAAAACCATTAACAGTTGACATGTTCATTATTTCAGAAGAAGGAGCAATATGATTACTAACATGTATCACTGACAACATCAAAAAGCATAACATATGATAAATGTTTGGTCCACCATCTATTCATGTATCTGAAGATACCTCTTACTGACCTATTATATAGAAGTAATGGAGCCATAACTAGGGTAGGGCGAGCAGGGCAGCCACCCCAGGCAGTGACGAGCAGCAAAATGATGGAACTGGCTTGCCACGACACTCGTGAGAGGGCATAAATATGGTGACCAGCCCTGGCCACTAAGTTGCCAAGTTACGGCTCTGAGAAATAATCATCACCTCATTAGATATTTAAAGCTGTTGGAAGCACATTGATGAAAAATTTGTCAAAATGTTTTGATCATTTGACAATTTACAGAAGAGAAAACATGTAATCGAAATAAACCCGAAACATCTTTGAGAGAAAGATTTTTTATTGCTACTCTACTGTAGAACCCAATCACCCAGAAAACACACTAATATTGAAGCTACTTTCATCAGCAAAATGTAATTTTCTTTGAACTGATGACTATAGTAACATCTAAATATTTAATATAAACCTACATTTTTTATAAGACTTGGTAATTAATGTTTTTTAAACACATTTCTAGCAATAATGTCATGTTCACGCACCAACTTAAGATGTTTTTTAATAACTAATATGTAACAAGTTTTGTTTTTGTGTGGTTGTAACAAGTTGGCTGCGGTACTAAGACTTGAGAATTTGTTTGACTGCTGTATAAAAACACTAGTTGTACAACTATTACCTTACATCCCTGTTGAACTTTGTAAGAGTATGCCCCCCAGTGAACACTGAATGGATATCACATTAGATAGAACTGCTGCTTAACTATACTTCTGTTGAACTTTGTAAGAACTAAGTAAGAGTATGCCCCCAGTGAACACTGAATGGATATCACATTAGATAGAACTGCTGCTTAACTATACTTCTGTTGAACTTTGTAAGAACTAAGTAAGAGTATGCCCCCAGTGAACACTGAATGGATATCACATT